TTAACACTGAGGCCCAAGTGCGAGTGTATTTCACATTTACTCGATGGTCACTGTGAGCGCGTTCGGCGTGGTGATTGGTGAAGAGTTAATTGCAAGCCAATCGCAATGAAAAATGCGGTCACCGTGACGGTGAACATACACCGGACGAGCCAGCCCATTTGAAACGAAGAGTATCTCCCACGGTACATATCGACATCGATAAAACCATTACCGCTGTCGATAACACTTTCGCAGCGATCCCCTCCCTATCATCTTACTAATTAGTTTAAAACAGTTTAATATTAAGATCACACATACCGACCGCCTTTTATCACAGAATTCACAATATTATCGTGTAATTTCACACACATTCCATTACAACTAGAAATTCTTATCAACAGTGTGTTTACAAATCGGTCGATTTTTTTTTAGTATCTCAACGACCGTAGGACTTCGTCGTTCTATTCGGAGTAGGGTAGTAGACGAGATGGGACTCCCACCCACACGCCCACCACTGTAACTCCTGTACACCAGGATCCACAACAGTGACCCACGAACACACCGAGTTATGACACTCGGTGTGTTCATGTGGACACTCTGTAGACGAGATGTAAGACTAGAAGTAGACTAGACTTTTTATGGTGTAGGGGCGAACGCGCTGACGGGTCACCCGTAAGTGACTACGCCCCCCCCCCCCCCCATTAGGAGTGAAAATCAAGGAAAGAATTTTTCAACAGCGGTTTTCTGTAAAGCATTATATCACTTCGGTCCATTTGTGCCAAGGCATGGCTCTCCCATGATTAAGGTTTGGTATGGAGAATAATAAAACCACTTGATGTAAGTTTCTTATTCTATGTTCCTAACCTGTACCCTACCATGCTTTTATGATGGCATTAATGGGAACAAAACTGACCCCGAAAATAGAGAAAATCAATTTTTGAAGTGGGTTGTATTACCTGTCACAATTTAAGCTGGATCGGTGTAGAATTTTTAGAGTTTTTGAAACCAACTTAATTTTTTTTTATATCACATCACATTAATAGTCCACTGCTCGACATAGGCCTTTCTACAGAAAGGGGGGTTTTGACTTACTATATATACCACGCTGGCCAGACGGTTGGTCGGGTTATATATATACTAGATATATAGATAAAACCCCCCTTTGAGTGTGGTGACCGTACTAATGATTCACTATACAGATTTTCTTGGATTATAGCTAAGACCACTCATATTAAAATTTTCTTCGCTTTAAAAAAAAACCTGCATGCCAATCGTTTCATCCGTTCAGGAGCTAAGATGTTAAGTTTATTCGACAAAGCGGTTGCTACGATTCTTGGAACTTTCATGCTTCGTCGACCACCAAAGCATGGGCCGTTAGGCCAACGGTTCTCGGTTGGAGCCTTACATGGTACAATGTAGGACTCCAACCGAGAACCTTTACCCAGCAGTGAGTGTACGAGTATTTTGGACAATACCGTTTGTAATATTATTATCTACAATGCCATCACAATTGGGAAACGAAGTCAGAAAGGCACAACCTTAAACGCCACTGTCACAATATGGCGACCAAAAATTCTTTGGCGGAACATGAGACTAACTTACCTCTGCCAGCCCCATTACAATATGTTTAAGAGTTAGTAGAAGAAGAGAAGGAGAAGAAGAAGAGTTTGAGTATATAAATAGAAGGGATGGCAAGGTTCATGAAGAGTCCTTATCACGAAAAGCAAAATGAGTTTTATATAATTGTGACACATTCCTGAAGATTCGAACGGTTTTCGATAGGGATTAAATGGGATGCTGATAAACACTGTACTTAACTTCTGTTTCTAATATATCCCAGATAAATTACACCCAGATACAGAACAAATTATTGTGATCATCACGCAATTATTTGTCCCAGGTGGCAATCGAACCCACGACCTCCAGCTTAGCGGTCAGGGTACTAACCACTAGACCAACAGTATTCTAAGTACAACCATTCCAATTATAATTTACGGCATTCGATAATTCTGTACATAACGGTCACCAATCCAAAATCTTGACCGTCAATGGTTATCCTTAACCCCTGATCCACATGCAGAACACGCAATCAATGAATTTTGAACTCATTGCCGTAAAGAATAACGTTTACAGTGTTATTTATTATTCAGGAGTAAGGTCCCAGTGTATTTTTCCATCTTGGCTTATCATGACTCAAATACCGGAAATGTGACAGATTTTTAATTTAATATGACCTATAATAATTACATGTGTATTTGTCAACAAATTATATTCAGCTACCCTCTTGATTAGTCTGTTTTATATGGTAGCTTTTGTCCGTGACTCCGCCCGCGTGTTTGTCGGTTATCACGGTGAAAAGTAGCGTATGCCTTTCCTCAAGAATCAAAGTATCTCTTTGCCAAACTTCATTCCAATCACTTCAGCGGTTTAGCCGTGAAAGCGAAACAGACAGAGTAAAGATATTAGTAGGGGTCCCCTTTTTTTTTCGGATACCACCTGTCGGTGGCATGTCGGACTCGAACCGACTAAAACCGCACGCCGTCTCGGGTACTAATAGCCGGGGAACCAGGTATACCCTAGAAAGGAAGTCCCTGGTGCTAGTAGGGGTCCCCTACCCCTACTAATATCTTTACTCTGTCTGTATCGCTAACGAGAAGTAGTTTAATAAGGTCCGCAGGCTTCCAGAGGTAGGGGACCTCTGGTGACACTTTAACTGCTGCGGTAGGCCATAGGATGGCGGACTGGTCGCAAAAATGCGATCGGGCCGATAGGCGGGGGAAGCCCGCTGCTTTCCCGGGATAGGGCTTTACTAGGCGCGGCGTCGATCTGGGGGGGACCCGAAATAACATGGTCTGGGTCCTCCTCGGAGTAGGGCGCCTGAGTCAGGCCGTCGTGGTTTTTAGTGAAAACACTATATACTCCTGGCTCCTACATCCCCAAGGAGCCGGAGATCCGAAGGGATTTACCACCCGTCAACAAAAAAAAAGGGTAATAAGGTAGCTGATGGTAAGTGATTAGCACCACCCATGAGGCGTCCATGGGTGGTGGTAGTCACCATCAAGCAACTCGGACACAGATTAACAATCCTTTCCGGAAAAGACCTCATTGGCCAGCAACATACTACCGCAGGTGTCGATGGGCAATAGTAACCACTATTTGTATGGTTCTAGACGGGCATATGGGTCATCTGGTGAAAAGTGACCTATGAACGTCTGCAACGCCAACACAGGAGTCACAAACGCATTGCCGGCCTTATAGCATTATCATTAAAAGACCCGCCTAATTATTTCACCCTATATCTATCTATTAATTTATATAACCAATATTTTAACGCAGTTGTTAAAACTTTGATTTTGATGAGATTTGATTTATCAAACCAGAGCCTAAACCGCTGGGGCTACATACTTGACTTACCCACTAAGAATGGATTTTTGGAAATTCATCCCTAAACTGGTAAAATAAGAGATGAAGAGTTGTACAGAAGTTGATTATATTCAGGTGCAATACATCGCAATCAATTCTGAACTCTTTTGACTATGAAATTAGGTTTACAATGGTATTCAAGAACAGACAGTACAAGTTATGCTTAACATGGGTTCAGATATCGGTGTCAAATATCATCCTCTGAGACTTTTTTTGGGGTGTCTTAATGCTTTAAGAATGGTCACTCATCCATAGACTGATTTCGCTAGGATTGCTTAACTTTACAATATGCTACTCGGTTACCACTTAGCTACAAGCCTCTTTGTGTGAAATATCTTCCAAATTATGCCTAAATAATTCAAATCTTGTGTTTACATTTTATTGTTTATCAAAAAGAAGAAAAGCGGCATTCGTTTGTAGTGATAACAAGCTTTGGTGATACCGCCGACAAATTAAAATAAATTTCAGAAATTGTTATCACAAGAAAGTCGGTTACATCAAAGTTGAACTAAATATTTATAATTAGAAAACTCTTTTTAGTTCATCTCACGTGATTTGGAGTAAATAAACAACATTCGTTAAATAGTATACTTTCCATTTTGCTTTCATCCATCGATTTACTTTATATGTTGACTGAGGATATCAGGATTCTCCGGAGGTTTTAATAATAGCTGGAGGAACCCCCCATTTCAGGCGCAGAGTGGCACACCGTGGGGTTTTAGTCAGCTCTATTCCGATACGCGTGGCGGCTCGAGGGGATTATCACACGTTAAAAAAAGGGTTTCAAGATTTCCATTCTCTTATTTTAGATGTGTATTCACATTGAAACATATTTCAATTCAACGAGGACGACCTGCGATGCTGCATTAAGATTCTCTCTAACTTAATGAATGAGTGGGTAACAGCGGAAGTAAAAGAGTTCGTTCCAGTAAAAGTTCTTAAGACTAAATTGAAAATATAAAGAAAGCTAGGAACACGTAAGAAATATACATCAAAAACGACTGCACTACGTACGTACGACTTCACTTTATGGCTCAAGAAAAGAAGGATTCCTGCAGCTCAAGTGATTCAAGTGCGTTGCCAGCCTTTGTGTAATAAAGAATTAAATGGGAGGGGGATAGTTGGGCCTTTGGTAACCTCACGCAATCGATAAATAGCGATAAAATAACAACTTAACAACGGTTTTCTGTAAGGCCATGGCATCATTCCGGTAGAGACGACTCCCCTCCCCGAGGAAATTCCCTCGGATACCACCTATCGGTGGCATGTCGGACTGGACCCGACTAAAACCGCACGCCGTCTCGGGTACTAATAGCCGGGGAACCAGGTATACCCTAGAAAGGAAGTCCCTGGTGAGAGACGACTCCCTAAGCATACCTCCCGGTTTCTTTAAGTCAATAATGTATCCACGTACGTGTGACCGGTTGTCCACAATTATAATTACTCCATTAGGTTATAAAAGGTTAGTGTCTCCCCGCTAAGACCTTAAGATAACTCCAAAGCTAATATTAAATACAGATAATACATATTGCGCTGAACTTAAGAATCGTAACGCTTATCGCCCAGAGGCGTCTGAGAGTCTGAATTTTAATTGGAATATGAGTAAACGGGAACAGGTGACAGTTAAAGATTTATATCACATGGTAGGGAAATGCAGCATCAGAAGACTTTTGGGAGGAGGTGATGTGGGCTGTAGAGGCGATGAAGCAGAAATGGAAGAGGATAAAGCGTACACGACGCCAAAGAACGCGGTAAAATCTTCAAACTTTATTAGCGCTGGGCCCGGAGATTGGGCTCTATCAAAATTACGGTCAAGACGATGATGTGATGTGTTTCTTACGTGCTTCTCTATTCTAGAGGGAGTTAGGCCCACATACTAAAACGGTGTAATTGGCTGCACATCAAGTTTAAGTTTGGGTTTCTAGAAGGCTTCCTAGTGGTACTGCTACTACCCGCGCCATGTGAATTTGCTTCAGTTCGAATCCTGCATCCAAGTTCTTACTCGGCTCTGGTTAGATGATGATACGTGGGGGTTTTCACGACAAAAGAAAAGCATATATTTGTATGGAAGATTAATTTTTTCTGTCAGTCTGTGTGTTTCTGTATTTATGCGCACACCTCTGAAGTTACTGAACAAATTGAGATGTAGTTTTTTATATATTGGAAACAAAATATAGGCTATGTTTAAATAAAATTAGCATATATAACGCCGTGTATATCTGAAGATATACATTTATAAGGCATACATATCTAAGTAACTTAACAGAAATTTATCAAACAACGCGACCATGACTTTCGAGCCCAAAATTCTTTATATTATATCAATTACTTAAATACCTAAAGAATTAATTAATTCCGATTGGTTATTTTGTATTTTTTTCATACGAAACGGCTGACATCCGACCTCATCCAGCCAACGGAATTGTGATAATATCCTAAAATTAAATCGTAAGGCCATTTGTTACCCAATCATCGCTGGAGGTCGACTTACATTCTTCGCCCTGTTGGGCGAAGGTTGGGGACTAGAAATTCAGTAATGTTGCTTTCAGACTACTAAACAATCTTCAGCCTTAACCATCTAAGATAAGATTCTGATATCGGGCGCTGGCTGCGCGTCGTAGGGTTTTGGAATAGACTTCTAGTGAATGAAAATTATTGGTATATTCAAATCATAATCATGTAATGAAATGATTGCTCTTAGTCACTGCGATTTCATCGGTTATAACAAATATAAATGCCATCCAAAACAAGCAGACTACAACTTTTTTTTCGGTTTTAGACCTTTCGCGAGTCTTCCGCCAGCGCAATGATAATCACAAGTCGCAGAGGTTTTGTAAATTAGTCGCAGGTGTGTTTATATGATATAGTTTATAACAGATGACTGTGATTTTATTCTAACCCTATAGATTTAGATTTATATATGGTGAGCGGTTTTCATACGTTCAATTTCGCAATTCAATTGTAATCTTATATTCGTTTAAAATTGGCGTAAAAGCACATTTTTATTTCTTTTCATTTCTTGTATCTTATTATTTTATCTTTACAACTTTTCATTTCTTGTATATTATTATTTGGCCAATGACTGGTCTGTTGATCTAGTGGTTGGTGACCCTGACTGCTACGCCAGAGGTCGTGGGTTTTTGCCACCCAGGACAAATAATTGTGTGCATAAATTAATGTCCGTGTGGTGACGGATTAAGATTAGGATAGGATGTCACCACCCCTATTCATCCCGTGGGTGTCGTAAGAGCCGACTAAGGGAGCAAACTACGCAGGGCCAAAGCACTGCAAAGAGAAGGAAAAGCCCGCGTGGTATAGTAGGCCAAAACCTCCTTTCTAAGGAGAGGCTTATGTCCAGCAGTGGACTGTTATAGGCTGTTGATGATGATGATGATAATAAATAAATAAAAATAATATTTTCACACACGGCCGTCTGATCCCTAACTAAGCAGAGCCTGTACTATGGTAACCAGACTGCTGATAAACATACTTATATATGTCTAAAAACAGACATATTATAATAGAACAACAATTTGTGGATCACACAAAGTGTCGTCCCATGTGGGGTTTGAACCCACAACACTCGGCGTAGTAGGAATCTAGTTCGAACAGGCACACCGTCATAACTTTTTTTTTTTTTCCCCTCGGATACCACCTGTCGGTGGCATGTCGGACTCGAACCGACTAAAACCGCACGCCGTCTCGGGTACTAATAGCCGGGGAACCAGGTGTACCCTAGAAAGGAAGTCCCTGGTGCCCCGACATACCTCGGGTCACCTACAGACGAGTAGATGACCCCCCCCCCCCCCCGTGTGGGAACCCCATGTTCCCTGTGCTCCCTGGAAGCGAGCGCGCGGCCTGCCACCCCGGCCTGCTTCTGCTAGGGTGACAGATGGCCTCACCTGTCACCCCCAGGCCTGCGCTTATGGAGGACGGAGGTCGTTCTGCGACCTCCGGCGCCTGAGTCGCCTGCGGTACCTGGCCCGTTCCCGGGCCTGGCGGGCCAGGAGAGTCCTAAACCACTCCCGGTCCCGCTCCGCCGTCTCCTTCGACACCGTCATAACCTAACATATAATGCACTTACATAGACAATGACCTTTGCTAAGGTTAATTTATCGAAAAATATGTCTAGATTTCACTTTCAATATATTAAGAGCTTCCTCATACAATAATGGCATTGAAATTTAAAAAATAAATGCACTACAATTATAAATACATACAACATAGAGATGCCTAGCGGTCGAATTTCAACTGTTTTAGAATGTCTTACTTCATTGACTGGTGTTTTTAACTTTTTTTCGTAAACTTTTTTTAAATATTATTCGAAATTATCTCAGTCATAGATCAACACACACAATAGCAACAATCTGTGTTTGTCAAATATTTAGCAAAAAAGAAGTACTTTTAAATATTATTTGAAATCGTCTCAGACTCTAAAGTTATAAGATCAACACACACAATAGCAACAATCTGTGTTTGTCAAATATTTAGCAAAACAGAAGTACTTTTAAATATTATTTGAAATCGTCTCAGACTCTAAAGTCATAGATCAACACACACAATAGCAACAATCTGTGTTTGTCAAATATTTAGCAAAAAAGAAGTACTTTTAAATATTATTTGAAATCGTCTTAGACTCTAAAGTTATAAGATCAACACACACAATAGCAACAATCCGTGTTTGTCAAATATTTAGCAAAAAAGAAGTACTTTTAAATATTATTTGAAATCGTCTCAGACTCTTAAGTTATAGATCAACACACACAATAGCAACAATCTGTGTTTGTCAAATATTTAGCAAAAAGAATTTTATCCATTATATGCCTGTGCTGATCTACAAACGTTTGAGCCTTATAAGAAGAAAGGGCAAACAAACTCACGGCCAGTCCACTGCTGGTCATAGGCCTCTCCTTAGGAAGAACGTTTTGCCCTACTATGCCACTCTTGGCCGGACAGATTGGTATAGGTTGTGAACACTTGCAACTTAGCAGTTACCCCCCCCCCCCCTCCACCTCTTCCCTCCCAAAATTAGGATTTGGGCTTGAAATAATTACTTAACAATGATTTTCAACACTCCAGCCCACGGCACTCAAACGGGTCCACTCTCTGTTTTGCAGGTATATTACCCGTAGTTCCTCTACGAGTTTTAAACTTATTTCCACTGCGTCATCGCAATAATTTAACCTCAAATTTGTTAAAGGACGTAACACGCACTAATTATCCGTAGTGATGATGTCATAACTCTTTGTTATAACTACGATGGGTGATAAGAAGTTATCTCTGAAGAATAATGGAGTACGAAGCACGTGGTTATGTAAGATTATATGATTGAATATAACTACAGTTAATTTTATTATAATTTTATCTCTTGGTCGACCTGGGTGATAACGGCCTTACAAAAAACCGGTGTTAAGCAGTTCTTCCATTGCTGTTCACCAAGTGAGCTTAACCCTCTCCCTCGCCCAGATTCTGGGGGGAAGAATCAAAGTGTCATTGTCACTATAGATGTGATAAAATCACAGTGAACTGAACGGAATTGTCATTCGATTTTTTCGTCCGTATGTTAGGGTTACTACTTGCTCACCAGGGACTTCCTTTCCACCAGGGACTTCCTTTCTCACCAGGGACTTCCTTTCTAGGGTATACCTGGTTCTCCGGCTATTAGTACCCGAGACGGCGTGCGGTTTTAGTCGGTTCGAGGGTGGTATCCGAGGGGATTTCCGCACGGAAGACAAAAAAAAAAAAAAAAAAGAAGGGGTTACTATTTTCAGACGCATAAAGACCTTATTTCGCCTATTCAACAGTAAATCTAGTAATTATTTTATTATATATAGCTACCATTCCCTACATAATCGACTGCACGGATGGCGTAGTGGTTTAAGCGGTCGCCACGCCGCTTCCTACTGCGGCGAGTGTTGTGGGTTATAACCCCACATGGGACGACACTTTGTGTGATCCACAAATTGTTGTTCTGAGTCTGGGTGTTCTTTGTGTCCGTTTCATGTATGTTTGTAAAGTCCCCCGCGACACAGGATTTATTCCTAATGCGGGCGTTGTCTTTTTTTTTTAAATAAAAATAAGATAATAAATAAAAAAATACTAAATTTACTGTAAAATAGCGTCTAACCTAGCAACTAGCTACCGTAACCTAAATCACAGTTCACTGTGTTTTTGTCCCAAGTCTAGCAGTCACTTTTATTGGTATTGGTTGTGGGCTCCGATGTCCGCGTTTACACTCGAGAGAGGTCCTTTATATGTCTAGAAGAGGTGAGCCAGGTGAGCAAACCAAGCTCCTTCCAGAAGCGCAGAAGCCTCCTAAGGCGTTCACAAGCAACAGCTAGCAGTCACTTACCGGCTTGTAAACTAAACCTCTTTTTGCTCGACTTCAAAAAAGAGTAGGTTTTCAATTCAATATCATTTTTTGTTTTATATTGTTTACGCCATAGCTTCTTCGTTTAAGAACCGATTTGGAAAATTCTTTTTTATTTAGGAGAGCATACTTATCGTTTACTACCTACCACTATAATTAAAGAAAAGTACCACATTAAGGTTGGCAAATCAAATTAAGGAATGAATTAATACGGGATTCATTCGTGTGGAGACGGATTAAGAATACCGAATGTCACCACTCGTATTCATCAAGTAGGTGTCGTTAGAACCGACTAAGGAATCTGAGGACGCGCAGGTTAACAGCAAAGAGAGGGAAAACTTAACACAAACCCTTTTTTTTTTTTTTTACGTGTGGAAATCCCCTCGGACCGTCACCCCGCCGGGGCTCTCGTTCGGCGGGGCGGTGTGTCGGACTCGAACCGACTAAAACCAC